CTCCATCCCCCACCCACTCCCCTGCCCTGCCCTGTCCCAGGTTCTCAGGGACAGGGAGGGGTAAAGGGAGGTGCCTGTCTGGGAGTGGGTTGCACAGCTGGACAGATGGACGCAGAAAAAGGTCAGGAGTTCCTGCCTCAGGGGAAACTGAGGCAGTGGAGGCCACGTGGGCCTGAATTGTTCCAAATGACGCAAGCGCCCACGTGACCTCTGCCGTCGAGGTCGTCCACTGAGAGCAGGTTATTCTGTAGGGTTGCTGTTCTAGGGGACTGCAACCTGAAGAGGTCACATGATGGTTAATAATGAAGTCTACTGTCAGTTAGATTTTCTTTTTTTTTTAAAGATTTTTATTGGGGAATTGGGGGGATGGGAACAGTGCTGGGGAATTGGGGGAAGGGGAACAGACAAGTTGCTGTCGTTTTGTTCTTCAATCTAGTTGTGGAGGATGTTGCTTCACTGGCCCAAGTTGGCACCATCATTGCGCTCTTCTCTGGCAAGGCAGATCAGTCACCGGCTTCTGGACGGCCGCTCACTGCGGCTGCTGGCCGCTCACTCCGGCTGCTGGCCGCTCACGGTAGCCCATGGCAATCTACTGCCACAAGGACTGCAGCCCACGCCGTCGCCGGCGACTCAGGGCAGCCCAGCTCCAGGTTGAGCTGTTGTTCAGCATCTTAGCTGTGGAGGGCAGTGTCACTGGCCCTCATATGTGGGATCCGAACCGGGGCCCTCTGGCGTCCCAAGCGAGTTCTTAGCCATCGCGCCACTTGGCCGGCCCCAGTTAGATTTTCTTTTTAGTACTTGTTTACTGTTAGTGAAATTTGGGGATGTGGAGCTTATTGTGTTTTGCTTTGGGAAGACGTTAAAGTGCATCTTTTGTAGCTTTTCCTAGGATTCCTGTGTCAGACATTCTCTGTCCCTTTCTCCAGTCATTCCACTTTCTGGGTTTTCTATCAGATGGAGCATTTTTGATGCAAATGAAAAAAAATAAATTCAAAGCCGCTTAAGCAAAGAGGAGTCTACTACCTCGGATACCAGCAGCTGGGGGCAGTGCTGGCTTCAGGCACGACTGGCTCCAGGCGCTGGACATTCAGGAATCTCTCTATGGTTCTTGCCCCCTACCCCAACCCTCCTTGCCTTCCAAGAGGAAGATCCAGATTGTGTTCAAAGGGTCAAGATCACTTTGACACGTGTGACTTCTCAGCAGCGACTGGAAGGCAGGCCTTGATGGAATGCTGTCTACACATTTCTGAAATAGATTTATTTCCTACCTGCTGTGTGCCCAGCCAAACTCAGCAAAGAGTGAGGCAGACCAAAGGCATTTTCAGACACCCAAAGTTTCAAAACTGAGCTCCCACGCTCCCTTCTCGGAGAAGAGAAGAAGGAGTAAGCCAAGAGGGGGAGACGTGGGGCCTGGCGGTGGGAGGAGGGAGGGCCCAGGACAGTCGCGCTCTGGGTCCCCCATCCACATGGAAGCAGGACAGACGCTCTGGAAAGATGCCCACGAGGGAAAATACCTGGAGGTTTGGAAGGACTGCGCGGAGACTTAGATAACTGGGGGGAGGGGGGGGATTGTATGGATGAATTACTGATAAATGCAGGGAAAACGAAGCAAGTAAACAAAAAGGCAACTTTTAACGCAAGTAAAAACAATAAGTTGTACATGAAGGAAAAATGAACACAGTCACACATGGTCCTGCTGTGGATTGTGTTGACTTGGTCATATTGATGAAAAATTGAACATTGATTTAGCTAAAGTAGCAAAATAATTTTACTGAGAGAGAGGGAGAGAGAGAGAGAGAGAGAGAGAAGCGGTTAGCGATAGAGGCAGGGGGGTGTCAATGAAAGAGAACTACTAATACATTTTCACCTTTGAGGTGGGGAGTCAATTAGTGCCTACGCTGGAAAGTCAGGAGGTAGGAATGTGAGTATGTTGTTTACAAATTTGGAGAAACACAGCAAAAGAAATAATTAGCAAAGATTAAAATGGGAGGTGGCCTCTGGGGTGGGTGCTGCCGCCTCCATACCAAGTCTCAGGATGACTGATGCTTGAAACCGTGGGTACCCATGACTTTGATGGAAAGAAAAGCCAAATACAGGTTGTTTGGGGGCTTTTTTGAGATTTTATTGGGGAATTGGGGAAGGGGAACAGCCAAGTTGTTGTTCTTCAGTCTTAGTTGTGGAGGGCGCAGCTAGCTCAGCTCCAAGTCCAGTCGCCATTTGGCCGCCCATTGGCGGCCGCTCAGCTCAAAGTGCCGTGTTCAATCTTTGTTGTGGGTGGCGTAGCCCACCATCCCATGCGGGTGTCAAACAGGCAACCTTGTCATTAGGAGCACGTGCTCTCGCCAGCTGAGCCATCCTGCCACCTGTTGGCAGCTCAGCGGCAGCTCAGCTTGGGTGCAGCTCACTGGCCCATGCGGGAATTGAACCGGCAAACCTGTTGCTCAGAGCTTGCACTCTTAACCAACTGAGCCCCTCAGCCGACCCCCAAATATAGTTTTAAAAACTCTTAGGGTGCTTAAAAATTTTTTTTAATTGTGGGGACCTAAAAAATAAGTACATGAGGACACTTTCTAAGTCAAGGTCGCTCACCCAGCCAGGCAGTGGGTTTGTCTCCTCGAGGACAAATGTGAACCACCTGCAGCCTGTGAAGGGCGAGGTCCCCTCACTGCCTGGAAACAGGTACGCCACCACCAAAGTTATCTCCAGATTCAAAAATAGATTCCCGGGCCGGCCGAGTGGCGCATTGGTTAAGAGCTGGCTTGGGACAGCAGAGGGCCCCAGTTCGGATCCCACATATGAGGGCCAGTGACACTGCCCTCTACAGCTAAGATGCTGAACAACAGCTCAACCTGGAGCTGGGTTGCCGTGAGTCACCAGCAACAGGGTAGGCTGCAGCCCCTGCTGCAGTGGGCTGCCATGGGCTACCGTGTGTAGCCGGCAACCAGCGTGAGCAGCTGTCCAGAAGCCAGCGACTAATCTGCCTCTCCCGGGAAGAGCGCAATGATGGTGCCAACTTGGGCCAGTGAAGCAACGTCCTCCACAACTAGACTGAAGAACAAAAGGACAGCAACTTGTCTGTTCCCCTTCCCCCAATTCTCCAGCGCTGTTCCCATCCCCTCAATTCCCCAATAAAAATCTTTAAAAAAAAAAAAAAAAAGATTCCCAAGTGTACTCATTACTTCCTGTAGACGGTGCAATCCTTCAGCGTTCCAAGGGGAAAACTAAATGTTTCCCCAAATAACTTGGATGTTGCTAGAATATGTATCTTCTAGAATAAGTATAGTTACTATTCTGCTTTTATATATATATATATATATACTTTCTGTTTATTTATTGTGCACACATGTTCTCTTTACAGATTATATGCACCATACGTATTCTGTTTGTTTGTTATGTGTGTGCGTGTGTATCTCACACTGCTGACTGCTACAACAGGATGGCTGTGGGCCTGTGAAGTTACCTTCTGGAGAGTGTGGGGGATTTTAAAGGACTTGAAGAAGCCCTTGATAGTGTCTTCGAAGGGTAGTCTCACATGGCCTGAGCTACTTACCTAAAGTTTCTGGAAAAATCTATGCTGTGCCCTGAAAACTTGGGCAATGTGCTCCCTTGAGGCACACTGTCCAGCCCTCAGCGTGTCAGACAGGAGGCCTGATTAACACAGCATTCTTTTCCTTGGGCTTTTTGGGGGAGGGGCGTAGTCTGACATCTGGATCTTTCCAGGGAACGCCACTTCCTTTAGTGTTGCACCTTGGAGGAAGCTGTGCTGGTTGCACTGGAGTTTTTCTTTGGGAGGAGAGCGGCTAAGACCTCACACCCACACCAGGACTCCCTCCAGGGTCAGGCCCTGGCAAGGGACTTCCTCGTCTGTTCCCGCCTGCCTCCCCCGCCCCCATCAGCTCTTTCCCTTCAGATCTATAATTCCTAAGTCAGCTTTTCTTGTCCAAACACTCAAAGTCTGATCACGTCCCAGACTGTCTTCAGGCTGGTCTTAGGTGGGTCTGTGCACTTTGAGGGGCGCTGCTGGATAAGTCTATCACGGAAGCCAGTCGAGGCCCACAAGCCTCTGTGGCAGCTGGGTCCTGTGCCTGGAAATGGCCTGGCATCTGCCTGTTGGAGACGGGCTCTCCTCACCTGCTCCCTGTAATCGCTTAATAGAGATGCTCTTTCAGTGCCTTCCCTGCTGTCATCAATCCCACTGGGGACTCGCTCTGTGAACACAGCAGAGGTTTCTCAGAGAAGCAGGAAATTGGCTTCTGATGGAATGGGAGCAATGTTTATTGCTTTTTCTGATTTTAGAAGAAATTCATGCTCATTGAAGAAAACTTGAAAATAGAAATATATTGAAATAAAAAGGTGAAAATGACTCAGATTCTGTAGCCCAGACATTTCTGGTGACCACTTGGGTCTGGTCCTCAGTCTCCCTCTCTGCACACACACACACACACACACATGCACATGCACGTGCACGTGCACACATGCACACACATACACACACGCACGCGCACACACACAAATGCACACATAAGCTTTGTCTTTGCATAGTTGAGATAATTCTTCATGTCTAATTTCACATTCTACATCTTATTACTCTATATTCTTAATGTCATCATTTGGGGGAACCATCTTAGTGTTTCAGCCTTTTATGTGGGAGCAATGCTTGGGCAGCTGGAGGAGGGTGGGGTGGTGTTGGAGGGGGTCGGCAGTGACAAGGGACGAGATGGGGCTGTCTGCAGGCACCATGGTCTCCCTGCTGCAGGACAGCTCATGGGGCTGGAGGCCAGGCCCGTGCCTCCTCCCTCGGGCAGGGCTGGTGGGGCCGGGCGCTGGTGAGAGCAGAGGAGGGGTGGAGGCCAGTGTGGGGGACCGAACCTGTGGTGACCCATAGCAGGGCCCAGCCCCCCTGGCAGGCATCTGCACCGTGAGAACCCTCCCGCCCTTACAACAGTCTGAGGAAGTGCGTGGCGGCCAGCGGCATCTCAGCAGCCGACCCTCTTTCACAGGCATCGACTACAAGACCACCACCATCCTGCTGGACGGCCGACGCGTGAAGCTGCAGCTCTGGTGAGTCGGCCCCACGGCCCCTTACATGGCTGGCCCCGAGCCCGCTGCTCCCCAGAGGAGGGGTGATCCTGTTGTCTGGGCCCCAAAGCTTGAGCCCTGGTCCAGGGAATGGGAACCTGGGCTTTGAGGCCCTGATGTCTGTCCAGAACCTGTGGCCTCCTTGTGCCTCAGCCTCCCTAGCACCAGGAGGGGCCGATTCCCCTGAGGCTCAACCCAGACCCAGGGTGGGTGGAGCAGGCCAGGCTGTCACCTTCCCCTGGCTCAGGACTAGGTAGGTGTCTTTCTTGGTCTTCTGCTGCCTGGCGGCCCTGGCTCTGAGCTTCTGGTCACACCCTGCCCCTGCCCCGCTGGCCCCAGGGGTGGGGTGTAGGGGTCTCCTGCTGTGACCAACCCCTGGGTGGCCTGCACCCCATGCAGTTTTCCTGACCACTGTCACCAGCCCTTGTGTCATCCCCCTCTCCTGGACCACCCATGTGGCTGTCTTTCCCCTCCTGACCACGCTGGACCACTCCCCAAGCCCCACGCACTTCCAGCAGTGGGGAACCCCTCCTCACACAGTCCCCCACCTGCCCCTTCCAAGGAGCAGCAGGAGAGCCTGGATGACCCCATCCCTTCCCACGCCCAGCCTCCGGCCCACCCCCAGCGGCCGGGGTCCTCTCCGATCCCCACCCCCTCCTGCCCTGAGCACTGCAGGGCTTATTCTCCAGTCTCCCCTCCTCTCCACCCCACAGGACCACCCAAGGCCCCACTCTCAGCCCAAACTTGCCCGACTCAGAAGGCCACCCGTGACAGCTGCCCGAAGTTTCCTCCTAAACGTCCAAACCCCATCCCCTCATCTAAAACCGGCTCTCAGCCCCCAGTTCTTTTCTGGTCCGGGTGGCCCATCTTAGTCAAAGCCCCATGTCCTTCAGTGGCTCTGGCTCAACCCTGGGGCCACCCTGGGCGCCCACGTGGGGCCTTCAGCTTGGTGGCAGGTGAGTTGTCCTGACTGTGGATGCCGACACTCAGAGCTCCCCCCCTTGGCAGCAGCCCGCAGGCCCAGCGCACAGCCGGCGAGTGCTCTCACTCCGTCCTTGTCGCAGGCTTTCCAGCAGCTTCCCCCTAAACCCCTGAGGCCCTGCTGGGGCTGATGAGGAGTTCTGATCCATTCAGCACACAGGTGTTCCTCTCAGCCTCTGCCCACCCCCGCCCCCCAGCCCTGCTCTCCTGAGTCTGGGGGGATGTCACCACCCACAGGTGACAGGAACAGTACAGGTCTCGCTGCTCATCTGGGGGGATACCAGGGGTCCCTGAGGGGTCTCCCCTGGAAATGGCTGTTTAATTGCACACACAGTTTGTGCCATCGTCCTTAGGCGAGATGCCGGGACGCGGCACCCGCGGGTCCGAGAGCCCCTGCCGTGAGCACCAGGACGCATTCTTCTCATCCTGATTTGTTTCTTGGAGCTCCCGTCCATCCAGGGAGCTCCTGGGTCAGTCCCCCGTGGTGATAAAATCAGGCCTGCTGACTGGGTCCACTTCCTGTGGTTGACTCACAGTTAATTAGAAGTGGAGGGATCCCCCAAATCCCTCGGCCTATTTCTCCCCTGTGTACACCCATATCCCTTACCACACGACTTCATCTCCACATGCCACAAAATTTTAAAAACTTAAATTAGATTTATTTAAATGTCAGAATTAGGATGTTGAAACCCATCCCTAGTTTTTCTGGTTTGACTTACAAAGTAATGATTAGAAGATAGAATGAGCCCACAGGACCTGCCCGTGTCCAGATCATCCAGGGGACAATGTGACTGTCGTGTTGGGGTCTTGGGCTTGCGGTAGCATGGCCACCGACTGATGCTTGTAAAAGGCATTTTCTGTGGCTCCCAAGTACGGCGACCTTGTCATCAGCAAGAAGCAGGATGTCTTCTCACCAGTCTCCACCTTTTCTTTCCAGGGACACGTCCGGGCAGGGAAGGTTTTGTACCATATTCCGCTCCTACTCGCGGGGTGCACAGGTAATGTCCCTGAGCGGGGAGGTCACACTGAGATTGGGGAGCTCCTTAACAGGCACTTGGAGGACAAGGCAGTTGAGCTCCCTTTGTAAATTGATGCCAGCATTTAACAGTGCGCCCTGTGGTGTTTGGTGCTCACAGACCTTCAGCATCAGGGCTGCGTGGGTGCATGTGTGTGCGTGTGAACTGTGTACAGATGCACATCTGTGTGTGTTTACATGCATTGTTCTATGTACACATATGTGTGATGGCTGTGTACATGTGCATGCATATCTGCCACACATCTGTGTTCAGATGTGTATGTGCACACGTGTTCATGCGCATGTGTGTCTGTATGAATTTACATACACATGCATGTGTGTAGATATGTGTATATACATATGCACACGTTTGTGTTCATGTCTCCATGTGTGCGTGTGTGTATACCTGTGTTCGTGATTGTGTCTGTGCATGTGTGCATGTGTGTTCATAACCCTGTGTGTGCACACGAGCACTCCATCCAGGTGGCTGGGCTCTGCTCCGCTGAGCTGTGCTCCTGCAGCCCCCACGCTCCTTACCCCTGGAACAGCTCCTGGATTTGAGGACTCAAGTCCCTAACTCACCTGGACAGTGGGGGGCTCACCAGTGAGCTTATAAGGTAGTGGAGAAATCATATAACTGCTACATGGGCAGATAAACCAGTAAGGCTCGTGTTAGAATAAGGACAAAGCTATCTGGCTGGCTGGCTGTGAGTCTGACTGAGTGGTCGCAGGCCAGCGTGTAGCCCAGAGCTGCGCCTGCGTCTGTCCTATGAGGTCAGCCCGGTCCCCTCCATCCCCACCCTCCCTAGGGTGCAATCCTGGTCTACGACATCGCAAACCGCTGGTCCTTCGATGGCATCAACCGGTGGATTAAGGAGATAGACGAGGTACGGCTCTGCGCCAGTGTGGGCTCCTGAGGGTGGGCCGGGGACTGGGGCTTCAGCAACGGGGGACATGTCACCTCCCAGCGCAGAATCAGGTCTTCATGCAGAGGATGCCAGGCCCAGGGAGCTGGGCCCTGCTCTGCTGTGTGGTCAGGTGGGTGGACAGGCAATGACTGGCCCAGCTGCCCATGGGGACGTGGAGTGGCCAGGACCAAACCTGCAGTGTTAGTTCCTGGCAGCTGCCATAACCAATCACCATAAACTGGGGGGCTTAAAGCAACAGGAATTTATTCTCTCACATTTTGGAGGCCAGAAGCCCCAACCCAGGCGTTGCGGGACTGCGCCCCTCTCAAAGCCCTGGGGTGGACCCTTCCTGCCTCCTGCAGCCTCTGGGGCTGCTGGTGATCCCCTGGCCTGTGGACACGTCACCGTGTCTGCTTCTGGGGTCAGTTGGCCTTCTTCCTGTGTGTCCTGTGTCCCCTCCAATGATTGGCTTAGGGCCCCTGTAATGACCTCATGCTAACTAATGATATCTGTGGAGACCGTCTTTCCAAATAAGGCCACATGGGTCAGTCGGCGGGAATTTGGGGGACGCCATTCACCCCAGCACACCCACGGGCCAACAACACAAGCTCGTACAAGTATCTGTTTTCCCTGCCTTCCCTTCGCCCGCTAGCACGCCCCTGGGGTCCCTAAAATCCTGGTGGGGAACCGCCTGCACCTGGCCTTCAAGCGGCAGGTCCCCACGGAGCAGGCACGGGCCTACGCGGAGCGCCTGGGAGTGACCTTCTTCGAGGTCAGCTCTCTGTGCAACTTCAACATCACCGAGTCCTTCACGGAGCTGGCCAGGACGGTGCTGCTGCGGCATGGGATGGACCGGCTGTGGCGGCCCAGCAAGGGTAGGCATCCAGCGGCTGCGGGCGGCTTGCAGGACAGCCTCAGGCCGCGGCGCCTGTTCTCAGGGCGTCAATGTGTTGACCTAGACAGAAATCACCATCACGGCCCACGAGATATTTCTGAACCTTGCGCGTGCTGAGCAGAAGGCATTATTTGGGTGTCCGCGGGCATCTGTCATGAGACGGGGCACAGGCAGCACAGCACGCTTCCAGGCAACCTCACTCCCAGGGTTTGGGGAAGAGCACATCACATTAGGAGTGATTCACTTTCCACTCAGTTTGTTTACAAAGAGGAACCTGAGAAATAGAAGTGCATGGGGTATTTTTAATATAACGTAACTTGCAGTTGGGATATAATATTCAAATTCCTCCGTGTTAATGTGTCCAAAAAAGCATGGAAACCTATTGTGAACAGTGGCTGTCACCAGTTTCCTCTGAGTAATGCGTCAGCATGTTACTTTTAAAAGACAAAGAAGACAAAATCTGTATTCATTGAATTGGCAGTACAGTGTTGATTAAATGAAATACCTTCTAAATCAGGGGTCCCCCACTGCCACCTGAACATGATTGTTCTGTGCTGTGTGTGTGTGTGGGGGGGGTTAGCATCAACCTTGGTCCCCTGCCCCCCAGGAGTGAAAACCACAAATGTACCCAGACACTGCTAGACGTCCCAGGTCCCCTCAAGTTGCCCACAGCTGAGAACCACTGTTCTGAAGGAGCTGTTTGCTGGGACCTTGGATTTAAAGTGAGCCAAACAGACAAGAAACGTGTTTCTTGTCTGGCTCCTTCAGGGGTCGGGGCATTGTGACCGCAGAGGAGTGAGATGTGATTTCTGCTCCCCTCCTCAGCAGGTCCCCAGGAGCCCACCTCCTCCCCCCTCATCTGGGCAGGGAACCTGACTCACATAATGAATGGTGTGGGCGAAACCTGTTACAGCATTCGCTTTTCGAGTGCACTCTTGACCATGTCTTCATAAGGATAGTATGTGTTATTGCCATCAGACGTGCATCTGAGAAGGACATCTGTGTAGCCTCGGTCTCTAACCCAGAACCGTGGTTGTGTGAGCCTTGAGGGGAGCTCATTGGTCACCACCTCTCTCTCTCTCTGGCTCTACTCATCTCTCAGACCTGCAGGGAGAGATGGTGGGGTCTGGAGTTTAAGGTGATGAAAGCAGGATGGTCTGTCTCAAGTCCTGCCAGGTGCTACATGTGGGTGTGGGGGCCGCACTCAGCCCTGACATCTCGTACTGCACCGGCCCCACAAGTCCCGGGATAGGGGGCTGATGGGTGGGTGGGCTGCCCCTGTGGTCAGCAGTGCCAAGCACCCAGGAACTAAGCAGTCTTTTTTCTTCCCTAAGTACTGAGCTTGCAGGACCTGTGCTGCCGAGCCGTGGTGTCCTGCACGCCGGTGCACCTGGTGGACAAGCTCCCACTCCCCATGGCCTTGAGAAGCCACCTCAAGTCGTTCTCCATGGCCAATGGCCTGAACGCCAGGATGATGCACGGCCGCTCCTACTCCCTCACCACTGGCTCCAGCCACAAGAGGGGCAGCCTCCGCAAAGTCAAGGCCACCCGCCCGCCCCAGAGCCCGCCCAGACGCTGCGCCAGAAAGAGCTGTAAAGTGTCCTAAGGCAGATGCGAGCAAGATGCGCGCTGGACCCTTCAGGACACTCGGAGCCATTACACGGGACCGTGGAGGTTGTGCTAGAGCCAAGAAATGCCACCAGCCTCTCTGGTGACCATGCCGCCCCGTGCAGGGAAAACGGGTCCCGCTGCTCAACTTCGATGTTTCTATGTGGGTGTGCATGACGCTCTTGTTTAGGGAAAATGGGGACTCTGCTCACCTTTGATGACACGAAGTCTGCATGTTACCTCTGCCGTGAGCACAGCGCAATTGTTTCCTTAAAATAACAGCTTTTGTAGGAATGGTAAGATGCGCGGGATGAGGGTAAATTCAAGGGACTCTGAAAACAGTGATAGGTAGATCAGAGTCATCAACATTACAAGGGGCCTTTTTGTAACCCTCCTTTTTAACGTCAAAGCACTAATTTATAATAAGCTGCAGAGACATTCGAGGTTAAGCTCAACAGATCTGTCCAGCGTGTGTGCGAAATGGATTTGATAAAGTTTTTGCTATGTTATTTACTACGTTTTGGGGTTTATATGCATATTTTTCTGTAAATCTACTTTTTTTTTTGTATAAAATGTTCCGCAAGTTATGAAGCTAAGAAAAGAAAATGCCAAAGATATCTGTAGTTACGTTGAACTGAGCCCCAGCAGTTACAGCAGATCAAATCGGCAAGAAAACGTTACTGAGCCGTTCAGGAGGAATGAAGCAAACTCTGTCGTGTAAGGAACTTTCTCAACAATAAATGTATATTGTTTCTTGGTACAGTCATTGGCTGGTTCTTTCCGATTTGGTGTTTTTATATAGCCCTTTATTTCATTTGTTTCCTCGCATGTTTCAGGTGTCACAAATTAGTGCTCCTACATGGATAGCATTGGCAAAGGCTTCATTCCTGAACTGTCATCTATTGAGAAAGATCCCTTTTCCTGAAATGAAATGTAGAGGCAGAAAGTGGGAAGCACAGTTGACGTTTAACAGCACGGGGCAAGGTGCTCACCTTCCTCAGTGGAAAACCCACACGGGTCACTACAACCAGCCCTGGGCAAACCGGCCTCCCAGCCGCGGAGCTGACCCTTGAACAGCATGGCCTGGCCTTGAACTGTGCGGATCCATGGAAAACCCCGAGTATGTGTGGGTCAGCGCAGGTCTAACCCACTTGGTTCAGGGGCCAGCTTGTACTAAGGAGTGCCTTCTGGTAAAACACCGAGGTGCTCTCGAACCCCCAGTGTGCTCACAGATGTCATTAGGCATGTCCCCAAAAGCCGAGGTCCTTGTCACCCATCACAAGGAACGTCAAGAAGGTGCTGGCTTGGCAAAGACCCCAGGCAAGATCTCTCCTTCCGGGTTGTACGTGTTTGTTGTCTCTCTGGCCACTGGGGGTTAGAAGGGGGGATTAAAAAGTAATAATAACTTGGGATGAGAAAACGCCCAGAGGTCCTCAGCTTCCATTAATGGTTTACAGAATTTAGGTGATTTCAGGGACCCTGAAACAGGAGCAACACGTTTATGCAGATGTGGTGGAACCAAGGCCCAGAGGGGAGAAATGAGCTGACCACTGGTCACTGAAGGCCTGAAGCCAGGCCTGGGCAGTCCAGCCCCCTGGGAGGGGTAAGAGGACAGCAGTAAACCCTGGGGGACAGGACCTCTCAAGGAGCTGCTGGCCTGTGAGGATGTCCTCCTGGGGCTGTGGATGGACAGAGGTGGGAAGGGCTGACCCATTGACCACAACACTAGGTGGGCCACGGGGGGGGGGCAGCTGTCTCCTGTGTTCGCAACTAGGAGACACAGAAGACGTTCAAGCTGAACGGAACCCCCTGCATGGCCTCTTCTCCTCCCCTTTGAAGAGTGCTAGTGAGGCCCCGAGGGAAGAGAAGACGGACGGCGTCGGCTGCCGGGGATGGATCTCTGAGGTTAAAGCAGGCCAAGGGTTCTCTTCCCTCTCCCGTTCCTTTTGTTTTGTTTGTTTTATTGGGGGATTGTGGAGGACATTGCTTCACTGGCCCATGTTGGTATTATTGTGCTCTTCCCAGGTGAGGCAGATCCGTCACCGGCCACTGGACGACCACTCATGGCAGCTCTTGGCAGCTCACGCTGGCTGCCGCCCACTCACGCTGGCTGTCGGCCACTCATGGTAGCTTATGGCAGCCTACTGCAGCAGGGGCTGCAGCCTACGACATCGCCAGTGACTCACGGCAGCCCAGCTCCAGGTCGAGCTGTTGTTCAGTATCTTAGCTGTAGAGGGCGCAGTGTCACTGGCCCTCATGTGGGATCCGAACCGGGGCCCTGCTGCTCAGAGCTGGTGTCCCAAGCCAGCTCTTAACCAATGTGCCACTCTGCCAGTCCCCGTTCCTTTTGTTTTTAATTGAAGGACTCCTCAGGGGGACCACTGATGTCCTAGAAGGACTGTAATGAAGTTCCCAGTGCCTCTGTGGCCCCAGCTGGCACAGGGCCTGGTGTTTACGGAACACTCAGGCTGCCAGGGGCCTTAGCCCTCGGTGGGTGGCCTGGGGCAACCAGAAGCTGGAAGGAGCCCCCCAAGCACCTCTGTAGGCAGTGGGCCCTGGACGCCTGGATTTCTGACACTAGCTGCCTGAGGATAAATTTCTGTTGTGTGTAGCAACTTATCATGGCAGCCCAGGACACTTATACAACAAGGAAATAGGTCACACCTCACAGAAGTGCTACAGCAAACCAAAGTAACATTTGTGTGAAATAAAACAGTAGACCCTGAGACGGAACACACTGGGTAACGCAGGCACGCTCTGGTGGTGAGTACGCAGAAAGTAGAATTGCGATGTCAACTGAACCCTGAAGCGAACTGCGCTCAAACCTTGTCATTTTCTTGCATGGCCCTCACTGCTGGCAAAATCTACCCCAAGTATAAACAGACGTGTCTATCATGTCCCAGATGTTTGCAATTCTCTTTTCAAGTGTCTGGATTGAAAATGTGTTATGTACAATTATGTCTTCAATTGCTCTGTGAAAATTACTGCAATGCAGAATAATTTCGTAGACAGAAAGCTTACAGCTTTGAGGAGGAATATTCCAGGCAAATATTGAATCCTGAAAGAAATGTCAATTATAGGCTGGGTAATGTTTGTTTTGCCAAAAGGCGGAGAGAAGCTTCCCTTTGCTGGGGAGCACTTTTGTCAAAGTAAACATGGACTCGAGAAGAAACTGAAGCTGCATGTGTTAGGGGAACTGGGGAGAGGTGTCCCAGCTGTTACAGGAAGGGTGCACCCCACCCCAGCGAGGAGGGTGAAGTGGTAAGTGGGTGCAGGACCCTGTGTCACTCTGTCCACTCCCCACGACGGACATGTTCTTGGGCCTCCCCTTCCCCCAGTGCCCCTCGCTCTACTGGGGTGTTCTCAGGATGCTGAGCTGTTGAAGGGTGATGGCCAGAGTTATCTGGATGAGCCGAGCAAAGTCTCAGAGCAGGATAGCTGTGTTGCAGGATGGCGCTTCTGCCCGGTGGGAAGGTGGGTCCCTGGCACCAGACACTTTCCCTACCCTGAGGCCCAGTGCAGAAGCCAAGCTGTGTCCTGGGCCGGCCCCGCCCCTCCTCACTGCCAACCCTCCTTTCTCCACCAGCTTGATCATGGGGTGGGAGTCTGGCTCCATCCATTCCTGCTTTGATGGAATGTCTAGGTCTGTACCCTCTTTATTTAGCTCTTCAGATTCTCATACACATTTCTTCTGAGAAAAGGCTGGCTCCTGCCAATCAAAGTTTTGGCTTTTAATACTCCTTCCCTGCCTCAGTCTAGAACTCAAGAGTGGAATATTGCTTCTTTCTGTCCACTTTCCCACGATAACAATTGAGCCTGCGTGGGCCTGGGGGCCTCCAAGTCGCTGTGGAGAGGAAGACAGAGGTGAAGACGGAGAGTTCTGAAGTCCATCCTGCCCCAAAGCTGTTGCTGTTGCTCCGGCCATCACTCCTCCTAGGTAAGGCAGGTGCCGTCTATGCCGTCAGCCAAAGTCCACCAGGAGCGTAGCTGACTCCTTGCAGCAAGGGTGCCCTCACCCCTTTGAGAAATGAGGGTCATCTCTGTGGAAGGGTGTTGGAAGAGACTTGGGGTAGAGCTTGTGTGAGGTGACTGGGGACTGTGGTAGGAAACTCACTATGCCCTTTGAAGTGACAGGAAGATGGCCACGTGGCCAGGAGTGGGCTTAGGCCCCCTGGTCTAGAAAATGCCCGTCTGCCCTGGCAGAGGCCGACCCCCACCTTCTCCTGGGGAAGTGCCTCGTGTGGCTCCAAGTCCGTCAGCATGCCTGGTGGCTTCTTGATTCCTTGCCCCGAAATTTTATCATTGCTCTGTGTTCCGCTTCAGAAACGGGAAAAAGGAATGGTGGCTTTTTTTTTTTTAAGTTTCTAATCGCTTTATTAGTGAAATGTATCCTATGAAATAATCTTACCTGCAAGGCCCTCGTCATGTTGTAAGAGTTTCCTACTGTTGCTGTGTGTTTCCCGGGGCTGCTGTAACAAATTACCGTAACTGGGTGGCTTAAAACAACAGAAGTTTCTTCTCTCACAGGTGTGGAGGCCATAAGCACAAAATGAGCTTTACTGGGTTGGAACAGACGTTGGCAGGGTGGTGACCCCTCCGGAGGCTCCAGGGGAGGGTCCCTCCTGCCTCTTCCAGCTTCTGGGGGCCTCAGGTGTTCCTTTGCTCGTGGCCCGCGTCGCCCCAATCTCTGCCTCCATCTTCACGTGGGCTTTTTCCTGTGTGTGTCACATCTTCCTCTGCTTTCCTCTGTTAAGGACGCACGCGATGGCACGTAGGGCACACCTGGGTCATCCAGAATGATCTCTCCCTCTCAGATCCTTCTGCCAACAAGGTGACACGTTCCCAGGCTGTGGGATTAGGACCTGAACACCATTGGGGGCCATTATTCAACCACCAGGCGCACCCATTCGTGCCCCTCGCCCATGGCAGACACTCTCTTGCCCCCAGGGGTAACCACCCGCTCCAATTCTGTGTAAAGCACGGTCCCAGTTTTCTTCCAGGGTATGTCCCCACATGCGGATGTGCCCCCTAAACAATGGGGTTGGCGAGGTGGCCGATTTAGAGCTTCGTGTAAAATGCATCCTACCCCAGCATTCTTCTGAGATTCACAGGGACACGGATGGCATCGTTTCCGCGCCTCTGGCCTCGCGTGGTCATGGATGCGGCAATCCGCCCATCGCGGTGTGGGCGGCTGTGCCGGCGTCTCCACGGGGAGGGGACACACTCCCCTGGCCTGGTGCAGTACCTGTCACCCTTTGCTTTTGCTTTTCAACTCCTTAAGAACCCGGTAATAGACAGACATTTTACGGGGTGCCCCTGTCCCCAGGGGAGACACTCGGGGCTCACCAGGACACTCGGACTGCGCCGAGAGGGTTCTGTGAAGCATTTCTCTCTGGGGCCCGTATTGTCAAAACATTCGATGGTATTTTTCGTCTTACAAAGAAAAAGTTGGGTTTTAATACGGAGCCCGTGTAATTCCTGTGCCTCCATGCCGGCCTCAAACCCCAGTCTGCCCCCAAGAGGCGGCAATGGGCGTCCCCGCCCCTAGCAAAGGGGGCTGGCGAGTCCCGTTTCCTGCCTTTCTTGACAAGATGTGGTTACCAATGGGGGTGTGACTTCTGGGGGGACTCTAGCTCCTGTCGGGACTCTGGGCCCTGCCTGCTCCGAAGGGGCGAGGGGTTCGGCTGCCTCTTCAACTTGCCCGCCTGTCCCGGGGTCGGTCGCCCTCAGAGCCGCCTCTCACGGGCATGCGGTTCCCCGCATATCAGACCAGACCCCCGCTCAGACCCCGCCCCCAGACCGCCCGCCCCGCCCCCTCGCAGACGCTGCTCCGCCCCGCGCGCGTGACGCTCTCGGCGCTCCTTCCCCGCCCTGGACATCCCGGATGGATGTAATCGGCGCTCTGTAGCAATTTTGCTGCGCACGCACGCACGCACGCACGCCGCTCGTTTCCGGCCGTGGCGGCCTCCGCGCCGGCCTGACGGGACCCAGCGCCCGGCCTTCCCGAGCGACATGCAGCGCTGACGAGCGGCGGACGCTCCGCGGCGGCGCCATGAACCTCCTGCCGAGTAACCCCCACGGCAACGGGCTGCTCTACGCCGGCTTCAACCAGGACCATGGTGAGTGCGCCTCCGCGCGCGCCCGGGCCCGGGACGCCCCTTCCCGACCGAGCCCCACCCCTCGCAGCCCCGCCGCGGCGGGTCTCTACCCCCGGGGGCCCGTTCCCGGCCGGAACCCTCCCCGGAGCCCCCACTCGGCGGGTCCCGGTCCCCGGCGCCCCACCCGCGGGCCTCTATCCCCCGGACGCCCCCGCACGGCCGGGCCTCCCGCCGTCGCTCCCGCTCCGAGCCCGGGGTGCGGGCCCAGCGGGGCGGGTCCCTCCGCTCTGCCCCGGGCCTGAGCGACCCCCGGGGTGGCGGCCGCGCCCCCTGCGCTCCCCGCCTCCAGGCTGCGCTCCGTCTCCGCTGCCCCCGCCCGGGCAGTCGGCGCATCTGAGACCGGGGCCTCCGTCTGGGCCTCCCGTCCATCCCTCGGGCCACATTCGCCCCGGGCCCCGCGGGCTCCCACCTGGGATGGACGATGATCGGATTTTTCCCCATGGCGTGTTTTAGGGTCTGCCTCGAAACTTCCTTTTTTTTTTCCTGTGCTCGTAAAGGATCTTTAGCAAATAAACTAGTTACACTTTTTATTGACCATTCTCGCAGGCCTAGTTAGGTGTCTTTTCGTTGGTTTTCATCAGGAAATGTCACTAAAGGAACACTTGCTCCCCCCAGGGTTTTTTCTTTTGGTTACTGAAATCAAAGAACTTCCAAGAACTGTTAAGTATGCCTTAGGGGGGGAATCGCTTTATTTTCCCTTCACGTTTTCGGTCCCAGCTGTAGTCACTGGGCGGTAGCAGCCTCCTGGGTGGGGGGGGGGGCTGCAGGGTCCCGGGAGGGCCGGACTGGCGGTTGGCCTCGCGCTGCACGTGGACGCCGTGTCGCCCCTCAGGGGGGAGGAGGCACAGCTGCCGTTCAGGGGCAGGTTCTCAGAGCTGCGAGGTGTTGGCTTCGGGAGTTGTGTTTGTGGAGATGCTTTTCAGCCGACGAGGCGGCGACTGGGCGCTCTCACTGGCGTGCGTTTGCTGTGTGCGTCCCGTGTGCCAGGACCTGTCCGCGGGTTTGGACTGTGGTGTTGGAGGAGAGCTAAAATGTACCTGAGGAAAACCAGGGTCTCGAGAGGGGAGAGTATGCACGCTGCGGGACCGGCCCCGGGAGCTTTCGTTAAGTTGGAGGAGGACGAGGCCGCGAGTTGACGCCTGGCCTCTGAGGTCCTGGAAGGGTTCTTGGAGGAGGTGGCAGTTAGGCCGGAGGTGGAGAGGTGGGAAAGGTGGAGTGGGCACCTTCGGCTAAGTGACCCCGGGTGGCTTTGCTGTGGCCTGGCTGCAGGGGTTGTGAAGGAAGTGATTAGTGAGGTACCAACATGTTTGGGGCCAGATATTGGACTTTGGGCTGTATGTGGCTGAGCTTTTTTTGGTTTAGAAAACCAGAGGAGGGCTAGTAGGTTTTTAAATAAGTTTCGATAATAATTGAGATCTCTTCAAGAAATTAACAGTGATGTAACAACTTCTTAAGAAATTTGCTTTCAGTGAAGAGATGTCTGTAAGGGAAGGGAGAGAACAATGAAAAACACAAGCACAAAGCTTAGTGACTTGAAGCCGTTTAGTGCAAGAAAGTCATTCTTACATACCTACCTGCCTAATGCCAGTTGAGAAAGCTTTGTTTTTAAGCTTCAGTGTAATAATTGTGGCTCAAATGATGCTAATTATTTAATAAACCAGCGAAGTTTGTAATATTTTTGTAAAGGTTTCATTAAAGATTATTTTTAAAATATAGCTTTGGCTTTTTAATAGACATTTCATTGTTTGAAAAATAGACTTTTGTAAAACCAGCTCATTTCATTGTAAGGAGTTATAAGTAAAGCTTACAGTGTTTTTGGAAAAAAATGCTTTTATACTCAAATTTGTGGATAACTTTAGGTTAATTCCCTATAAAGTAAATTTATGCCAGATAATTGAGTTTGTTACATTTTGGTTTTACTTATACTGATTTTTAATGTTTACTCTCACCCCAACTTTAAGCTACAAGTCCTTTTTAAAAGGACATTTGCTTATAATTTTAAGTTGTTCCAACTTTTGACTTGTCTCTTCCCAGCTAATTTGCACTGTGGTCTTCAAGATTCCTAAGTGTTGATGTGTGCATTTCCACAGTCTGGCTGCCTGTCTTTCTGTTCCCACAGGGAGCGCAGGGCTTGACTGCACACACCCTCCCTGGGTACTGACCAGCCTGTCCTTCTTGACGAGACCCGCGGCCACACACTTACTCCTTGGCCCACTTTGCTGTCCTTCCCACGTGTGTTGGGGAGAGCTGCATGTGTGTGGGTGCATCTCGTCCACGTAGAGAGATGTGCCCATCAGTGTTCTGATGCCCTGTTGGCCCTGGGCGTCCTCTGCACTGCCAGCCACCTGCAGTGTCACGGTTACCAGCTGTTGGGCTGAGGGTTTCTCTGGAAAAAAGTGTTGTTAATATGACACGGATGGGAGGATTAATGCTGAGTTTTATATGTTAACTAAGTGAAATCAGTTAATCATTCAGAAAAAAGAAAGCGAGCAAGGAAGATGCCTGCCCTCCTCAGCGAGCGGTTTCCAGCCTCTTGGTGTTTGTACCTGTCCTTTTCACTTTTTATGGCGGGTTACTGTGCTTACAGAGAAGTGCACACTCCTGAGTGACCGACCGCTCAGGGACGTGTCCTACGGAATTCCCCGTCGACCACACTCGCTACCCTCCCAGCCACTCACTGCCGCCTCTGACTCCAGTGGCATAGAGTAGTTTCGCCTGTCTGCGTACTTTATTTTTGTTTCTGGCTCTTTTATTCAACATCATGTTTGTGAGATTTTTTTCCCATATTGTTGAGTAGTGTTGTAGATCATTCTCACTGATGTATGGTGTTTCTTTATGTGACTATTTTACAGTGTGTCCATTCTAAAATCGTAGGCATTTGGATGGGTTCCCAGTTTTCGGCTATTCTGAGTAGAATAGTGCTACTGTGAGTATTCTAATATGTGCCTTTTGGTGAACGTGTGTCATCGTTTCTTCAAGGCGTGTACACCTAGGGGCAGGGTGGACAGCTGCAGGACAGAGTGCCCGCAGCTCCCGAGGTGGCCATGGGTTGGCCCTCCCAGCGGTCCGAGGGTTCCCAGACCTCTGTACCCGCCGCACGCTTGGCATGTGCCTGGTCTTGGCGGGTGTGGAGTGGATCTCTTGTGCTGTATTTGACGTGATCTTTGTATTTCCCTGATTCTCTGTTTATTGGCCATTCAGATATTCTCTGTTTGGAAATGTCCAAGTGTTTTGCTCATTTTTCTGTTGGGCTGTCTGTCTTTTTCTTGTGAGTTTACAGCAACTGTATATTTTTATACAAGTCTTTTCAGAAATGTGTGTGTTCTGGTAAAGACAAGTAAGACAGATGCAGGCTTAAAACCGGGGGAGGATGTAATAGTTGGGAGAGAATGGAAAAGATTTGACTCCTGTATTTCTGTGTTCTCCAGGAAGCAAAGCTCTGATTGCTCTGTCCACATCACGTGATTTCAGGGACACAGAGGAGTCACAGCCCGAGAAGTTAGGACATAACGACTTGTCCGGCCCCAGGCCTGCAGGTGCATTTTAGAGCCTTGGAGCTGCTTGCCCAGCGGTCTCCCAGTCGCCGGGGGAGCTGTCTGCTGTTTGAATCTCATGTTCTTCAGTTTTATAAGTAACTTGGACAAAAGCATAAGCTTGCTTTCCACATTCGGAAGGGTGGCTGATAGGTTAGAATAACGGGGCTCCGAGCTGGAGACCAGCAGACGAGAACCGAAGAGGGCCTCGGCGTCGGCCTCGGCACTCACACCTGCTGTGCAGTTGTGCTGAGGCTTTGTAGCCAGTCAGTGAAAAAGAACTAGAGGGCGTTTCTTGTCCTTCCAGCCACAAGCTTCATATAAACCAGCAGTTGGACATGGTGGCGTTTAAGGAGATAAGTGTGGTCTTGGGTTACATGTACGGCGTATGAAGTTCAGGTCACAGGATCATCCTGAAACTTGAGTGCTCCCTTCAGGTCCTAACAGTGCCTTTAATGGGACCATTAACCACTGATGTGTGACTCGGAGACTGTGACCCAGGTCATGCCTCGTGACCGTGCTGGGTTTGAGGAGTTAGGATTGTGTACATGTGGGAGTGAGGTCATGCGTGGAGACCTTAGGCCTACCTTCTAGAAGACCGTCCTGTAGCAGCCCTTCCTCCCTCTTACCCAGCCTGGTCTGTCCACACCTGCTGGGATTGTCTTCCAGGAGACACGGACTTGGTACCTGACACAAGGTGCTCGAGACGTGTGTTTGGAACGAGGAGATAAGTGGCGAATGTCAGAGGCAGGTGTCGGTGGGAGTGCCCAGTGGCTCATGGAGGTAAATGGTGAGCCCCTCTCATGGGGCTTTAGTGTGTCAGGGGACCTGTCCACAGGACACCACCGAAGGGCCCTGCAGGGAAGGGTGGGTGAGCGACTCCGGAGGGGGCATCTAGCTTTGAGAAGTAAACAGGGCTTGTGGTCCTCCGTCAGCTGGGACGGAGCTGTGCTCCTTCTTTCGTTGAGCCCGGCTCTGCGCAGGGCCAGGACACAGCGGCCATTTGGGGTGAGCGACTCCAGAGGTTACCTCGCACGTTAAATGGTAAAGTGGAAGACGTCGTGCTGGGGTGTGCACGCTGTTCAGTAGCAGTTCACAGGAGAGCCGTGTGGTGTGTGCAGACCATGTCCGTGTGGTCTGAGCTCCTGCAGCTCTCAGGAGAGCCCACTTTGTCTGGACCCCAGGCTTGGCCACTCCAGGCCCGGGGTCCTTGGCCGTGACCCCAACAAGGTGATTAATGTGGGTCTCTATCTCTCTCTCTCACTTTAGGATGCTTTGCATGCGGGATGGAAAATGGGTTCCGAGTCTATAACACCGATCCACTAAAAGAAAAAGAGAAACAAGGTAAGTAACTGACATTTCATGGTTTCTCTTCTTTTCCAACCCTCAAAGAGCCTAAATTTCATCTTGCAGGTGGAGGGAGGGGGCATCTAGCTTTGAGAAGTAAACAGGGCTTGTGGTCCTCCATCAGCTGGGATGGAGCTGTGCTCCTTCTTTCGTTGAGCCCGGCTCTGCGCAGGGCCAGGACACAGCGGCCATTTGGTGGGCAGTGGCCTGACTCGCTGGCCAGTGAGTTACCAACTTCGAAGCATCTCTGTCTTCTCCCTGTGTCTTGAGTCCTTGCTGGCTGTACGGGAAAAACATGGTGTGACTGAGGCGGGCCACTTTCACGCTTCTGTGGAGGATAAAACTAGAGAGCTCAGATGATGGGTTTAATGACAGCAGATGAGAGGGACACCTAACTCTTGGTAAGTGACCAACACTTAGAAATATTATTTGTAGCAATAAGTGGTAGTTGCTTCTGTTTACTTATTTCAGTGTGTTCAGTTATGTTTTCATGGAGCACACGCTGGAATCAGGTGAAATAAAGCCATGGTGGTCCTTTTCCCATGGGACAGGAAATATGTGAAGTTTACAGGTAGAATTTTTTCAATTTGTTTTTTTCTCCTTCGTATTTTTCTTAAGCTTTTAAGTGTCTCCTGGTCCTTACTTGCTGGGAGAATCAAGCACTGTCAACAGATGAACAAATCTCAGATAAATCGTAGAAAACGAGAAATGCCCCTTTTCTTCCTGCAATGGTTTGGGGTTTTTTTTCAGTTGACAAGTTACATTTTCTGATGCTCGAAATTTCTCATCTCTAAGAGGCGGTTTCTGCATCCCGATGCTCCACAAAACAGCCCCTTCCATTTTAACAGCTAACCCTGATAGTGGAACCCCTTTGTCTAATGAAATTTTCCGTACTACCCTGGTATGTAAGCCAGTAAGTGATGCTTTATGTGTAGGAGTTTATTTTGTAAGTGGAGGTCTGTAACTCATTTATTAGAGGAAAATAGTGTAGCCTGGCAGGTAAGGGCTCAGGCTCTGCAACCACATTGTTTACACCCAGATCCTTGCTCTGCCCCAACCAGGCTGCTGTGCGACCGTGGGCAAGTTCCTCACCTTCTCTTGGCTCCATTTCTGTAAAACGAGGATAACTGCCTGCCTCCTGAGAATGAATTAGGAGGTGAAACACAGATTAGTGGCTGGCATATGTGGAGTGCCATGTCAGCTCATGCCCGCACAGTGTGTCCACAGCAGCAGCGGTGTCTCGGGTGGAGTGTGTCAGTGGCAGCCGTGACTGTTTGGCGATGTGGCAGTCTCCTATCAGTCGCCCAGGCCTCCGACTTCTGCTTATTATTTTTTTTCTGTTTTAAAGATTTTATTGGGGGAGGGAAACAGACAAGTTGTTGTCCTTTTGTTCTTCAGTCTAGCTGTGGAGGATGTTGTTTCACTGGCCCATGTTGGCACTGTCATTGTGCTCTTCATCTGGACGGCCGCTCACGGCGGCTCTTGGCAGCTCACACTGGCTGACGGCCGCTCACACTGGCTGACGGCCACACATGGTAGCACGGCAGCCCACCACCGTCCCACTGCAGCCTACGCCATCGCCAGAGACTCATGGCAGCCCAGCTCCAGGTCGAGCCGCCGTTCACCATCTTAGCTGTAGAGGGTGCAGCGTCACTGGCCCTCATGTGGGACCCAAACCGGGGCCCTGCTGCTCAGAGATGGCGTCCCAAGCCAGCTCCCTACCAGTGCGCCACTCGGCCGGCCCCTTCTGCTTACTTTTGGTTGCATAGTGAAGTAAGACAGCTGTTTTTTATACAGATACAGGTAGTTACAGAATATTTTGAAACAGCTTGACATGCAAATTTCAGGATACTTTTTACTTAAATTGACCAGGAAACTTACAGAGGAGTTAGAGATGTATAATAGTTTCAAAATTGATTCTTTAGCAGCATATTAGCAGTCACTTCCTAATTAATGAGATGTTTACAGTAAGTCCAGGATTTTTATTTTATTTTTTTTACTGGGGAATTGGGGAAGGGGAGCAGCCAAGTTGTACTTCAGTCTTAGTTGTGGAGGGCGCAGCTAGCTCAACTCCAAGTCCAGTCGCCATCCGGCCGCCCATCAGCAGCTCGCAGCCACTCAACTCAAGGTGCTGAGTTCAATCTTAGTTGCGGGTGGGCATAGCCCACCACCCCATGCTAGAGTCCACCAGGAAACCTTATTGTTAGGAGCACGTGCTCTCACCAGCTGAGCCATCCTGCCACCTGTTAGCAGCTCAGCAGCAGCTCACCTCGGGCGCAGCTCACTGGCCCATGAGGGAATCCAACTGGCAATCTGTCTCTCAGAGTTTGTGCCCTTAACAAACTGAGCCACTCAGCAGGCCCCAGGATTTCTTATAAAAGTAAGTTAGAGGAGAAGCACAGAACCCCTATCCCAGGGTTTGCATTGTCGTGCTGTCATGCATGTACGTGTTTGCTGTGGCTGCTCAGCTGCCCGTCTGGCCACGGCCCCTGAGCTTCCCTTGTGAATTGGGGGCCATGCTTTCTGATGGTGCATTTTGTGTGGTGCGAAAACACACCCCTGTGCTCTTGCAGGTTAGGCTGCTGTCCCATTTCTAGCAACTTAAAATCCCGATAATAGAAAACAGGCAGGAGACTTGACCTTGTTCCTTTTTTATCTTGGAGATTTGCTTTCCTAAATGAGGAGGAAAGGAAGGAAGTGCGGCTGCATTACATTGGTCGTCCCCAGATCTGGGCTCGGCCGTGGTCTCCGGTGTGACTGTGGCACTGAGTGAGGAGACTGACTGGCGGTGAGCAGGGCCTCCTCTGGGTGTGTTTTCTTCTGGGACTTTTGTAGTTTTGGATCTTACATTTAGGTCTTTAGCCCATTTTGAGTTAGTTTTTATACATGGTGTAAGTTAAGGGTCCTGCTTCATTCTTTGCGGTGGATTTCTCGTTTTCCGGGCAGCAGTTTTGAAGAGACTGTCTTTCCCCCTTTGGGGAGAGGGGGTCAGGTTTTTTTTCATAGCAGGTTATTTGAAGTTTTGGTCAGCTTTGGTCCATCACAGTCCAGTAACCCAGGGTGCAAAGGCCAAGACCAAATATGAAGTGGCAGTTGATCTTCCTGTTGGTGACTGAGTTCACGCGAACCAGGAAGGTGGCCTCAGTGTCTGGAGGGGTTGTCCTGCGCCGGGGGGTAGAGCAGCCTGGGCATTTATAGATCCGAAGCCACACACCTAGCTGAGCGGAGGGGCACTGGAGGAATGGGCCGTTCTCCTTGAGTGGGTTTGGACTGTGGCCACATCCTGTTAGAACCAGAGTTACTGTGAGATGGCTTCTGTCAGAGGACTCTTCAGTTGTGGAAAAGGAAACCTTTTCATTATGGATCATACTAAACGTACAGTACTGGGGTTTATACAGGCCTTGGGCTCTAAATTTCTCCTGGAGCATCTGGATGGAATTTGGAATCACCTGGTGCAGCTGTGACTGGACAGGTAGACGTCGATTCTTAGGTGAACGTCTAAGTTTTAGAGGTTTGGGTCCTCACTTGCCCTTTGCCGTGCCCTCCCTATCCCAGGAGGTCACGGTCATTTCAGACTGGAGTGCAAGGTTGAGGAGCCCTGAGCGGGGCAGTTCTCTGTGATAGACCACACAGTGGGGTTCACTTCTCTGAGCCCCAGGTGTCTCATTGGGGCCCCCACTGCCTTCTCAGAAAGCACGGGTCTTCCTTCTGTCATGAGGATGTCTGAAAATTTGCTGACATCTCCCTCTTAATAGACTTCACGAGCACTTGTGAGCATTTCAGGCTTTAGTGGAAGTGTTTAAAATGATAAGAAACTGTGTGTGTTAAAGTGCGTAGCGGGCTTTCTCAGCTTACAGAATTTGTCACATTAGCTTCTTAGGTGCTGTGTGCTCAGCGTTTATATGAACTCAGATGGATGGTAGGAGGCTGAGAAAAGTCCAAAGCCCAGAGTTTTTCCTAGCCAGTCACCATTCGCATTTCCCATGGTAGATACTATAAATTGCTGATTAAAAATCAAATACCAATTGCTACGTTTTCACCTCTTTTTCTTCTTTTTTTAAAATTGTAAAAGATACATACTAACTTCTAAATTTTAATACCATTTCAGAATTTCTAGAAGGAGGAGTTGGCCATGTTGAGATGTTATTCCGCTGCAACTATTTAGCTTTGGTTGGTGGTGGGAAAAAGCCGAAATACCCTCCCAACAAAGGTAAAGTACGTGCGTTTAATAGTCATGCCTCACGTGCGAGAGTGCCCTGCACTTCTTAGAACATATCTGTCTGCGGGCACATTCACTCTCCCTGTGTCCTGTGAAGTGTGAAGGACTAGCTGCTGGGAAAGAGGTAGCCAGAAAGAGCGTGGCTGGGCTCCAATGTTCCCAGGAGGAGAAGTGTCTGACAGGCCACTTGCTCCCGTGACACAGAGCATGTAATTTTCAGTTACTGCTGGCCGAGTGGGGGCACACAGTGCCTCCAGACCCTGCTCTGTCCTGGTGACATCAGAGTCATGCGTTTATCTTGAAGCAACATGTAAGGAGGTTATTTTTCCTACAGAGAGCCATCGATTCACAGAAACATGAGTCCGGTTGCCGCATAGACCAAAAAACCAGCTAGGCTTTCAGTTTAAGGGTATTGTTCTTGGGAGGTGTGTGTGTGTGTGTGTGTGTGTGTG